TACGCAGACAGTCCTGGAAGAAGGTTGGGGATAACTTCCTGGTACAGGTGCTGAAGGACCCAAGCAGGGGCCGTGCACAGCTTGATCTGCTGCTCACAGGAGGGAGGCATTAATAGGGGAAGTGGATGTGGGTGGCAACCTGGGAAGCAGTGATCACGAGGTGGTTGCTGTCAGGATTCTGACCAAAGGAAGAAAAGAGCAGCGAGAGACACTCCCTGGACTTGAGAGAAGCAGACTTTGACTCCCTCAGAAATGATGGAAGGGATCCCCTGAGATGTTAAATTGAAGGGGAAAGGAGTCCAGGCAAGCTGGCAGTATTTTAAAGCAGCTTTACTGAAGGCACCGAAACCAACTATCCTGATGCGTGGCAAGAAAAGCAAATACAGTAGCCAGCTAACTTGGCTGAGCAGTGAAATCCTTGGTGCGTTCAGCCACAAAAAAGGAAGCTTGCGAGATGTGGAAGCTTGTACAGTTGACCAGAGAGGACTATAAATATATTGCTGGAGTGTCATGGTGTAATCATGAATGCCAAAGGGCAATAGGAATTGTGGCTAGCGAGGGATGTGAATAGTAATTATAGGTTTCTACAGGCATGTGAACAGCAAGAGGGTGATCAAGGAATGTGTGGGACACTTACGGAATGAGGGAGGTTTGTTAGTGAGAGATGTGGGAAAAGCTGAAGTGGGCACCTCTTGGTGAAGAGAACAGGTTAAGATCTGTTTAGCAAAGTTAGGAGTACAGAAATCCCTGGGACTGGATTTTGTGCATGTGAGGGAGTAGGCCCATGTCTTTGCAGAGCTATTGGCTGTTATCTTTGGCAACTTGCAGAGATTGGGGAAGGTCCCTGATGATGGGAAAGACAAATATAGTGCCCATCTTTAAAAAAGGGAAGGAGGCTAATGCAGGGAACTACACACCCGTCACCTGCAAGTTAGTCCTTGGAAACATCATGGAGAGGATCATCAGAGTCCATTTTGAAGCTCTTGGAAGAGATGCAAATCATCAAAAACAGTCAGCCTAGATTTACCAAGGGCAAGTCCTATCTGACCAACCTTATAGCTTTCTATGATGTAACTGGGTTGGTGGACATGGGGAAGTTGATGGATGTGATGTACCTTGACTTTAGCAAAGCTTTTAACACGGGTTCCTATAGTACTGTTGCCAGCAAGTTAAGGAAATATGGATTGGCTAAATGGACTGTTTGGTGAATAGGAAGATTCCCCGTTAGTGCGTGTGTTCTAATATAGACCAGGCCAAACTTAGGGATCAGATTAGGGAGACTAATTGAGACCTTTTACTGCAAAGTTTGGCATAGTATGGAACTAGAGAAGAGTGTAGTGCATGAAGTAGTCTGAAAAGTGTGCACAAGTCTGCTTGCTCTTCTGTAGCAAGCAACATCATTTACCTGTTTGCCTGCAGCCCGTTGGTTCTATTACTTCAACTCCTCTCATCTGTTCTCTCGCTTCCCCCCACCTTCCCTCATGTCTGGTTCTTTAGTGCTTAGGTGCCACCTGAGCTAGGGGATGGGCTCCTGGAGTTTTAGACTTTTTATTCCTGGCTTTGTAACCCGGTACACTTGAATCATGTGAGAAGGAAAGAACAAAAGATGAGGGAAGGGCCAAGGGGGCAGCAGTGAACTGCTCATTGTGACTTGTGTAAGATGACCTCAGGCAAATTCAACTAGTCTTCAGAAGTCCAACTCAGTTCTTTCCTTACTGGGCATTGCTACTGGTATAAAGCATTCTGAAGGTCAAATCATAGGTGCAGTCTTTGTTGTTCTAGCACCATGTGTATCTTCTGGTCTGAACACAAGTTTTATAGGGTACAGACTGGGATTTGTACAAAGCTGAGCATCCCACCACCCTGAACAATTAATACATTTTGGTTAAACATCCTGGAATCACTCCTGTATTTGAAATGCAGACTGGAAATTTGTTCCCCTGCCATCACCTTAAATGAGTCTGTTCACTAGACTTCAGCGGTCTTCTAAGCAGCTAGGTATTTCTTCTGGCATGTGTCTCTTAAATGGTTATTACAGAAGGATAGCTGAAAATGGAGGAGCTGAATTATTCATGGACACCTAGTGCTGGATATTTTTTCCCTCAGACACTAATTAGAAAAAACTAAATGACCTCTTATAACCTTGAAAACGATGAGCAGTTGTGGCACCTGAAGGCCCTAGTGTAGATGAGGGCTATTTTTACACACCCTTAAGTCAAATTTAAAAGTCGAGTGTCCATGCTCTTAAGCCCATTACTTTAGAGCAGCATGGGGGCAGTGTGGAAGTATTGCACCATGGGGTGCAGCAGGAGGCCTGTGAGCTTGGCACAGCTTTGCAGCAGCACTGGCTCATTTTAGTGAGCTCTGTGGCATCTGCAAGGGCAGCCAGAGCACGGTGCGTCTCTTTTGTGTCCTGTGAGACATGGCCGTGGAGAGAAGCCCCTGGAAGCTCGCATCTAACTTGCCTCACCAAGTGGCCATAAGGAATATCTGCCCTCCTTTTGCCCAGAGTGCTTCTGGTCTCCAAGACCAAGGCAGGCGCCAATCAGTGTGGATGTGCTATTCTGGAATAATTCTAATTTCCATGCTTCCCTAAAGTGGTGACACTCTACCCCAGTTTCTTAAAACTTGGAAGTTGTCTATTTTAATTTCAAAATGTCCTAGTGTACCAAACTTTCCTGATCTCTGTATCAGTACATATCTTCTATATAAATAGTATTTGTTCCTGCAGTGTCTGACCCACCAAGTTTGGAGTTGCTTGCACCACAATAGTTTTCTGCCATATGGTGGATCTATAGGGTTGTACCTAAATACTTATTATCTCTTACAATTCCCTATATTTTAATGACCAGTTATGATTGTAAAAATTCTGATTAAAATCAGAATTTCCTTCTAATATGAAATGGAGACTTCACCCTTTTTGATAATGGTTGGGGAATTATATTTTCTGCTTTCTGGCAGGGATATAGTTAGAGCTGTGCAAATATGCAGATATCTGCTTTCTATACATGGGTATCTAGATTTGGATGCAGATATCTGCAGTTCATTTTTTGTGGATATGGATATCGATACTCATTGTGTGTGTGTGTGTGTGTGTGTGTGTGTGTGTGTGTGTGTGTATAGAACCCTGCAAAATTGCAGACCTCTGCTTTATAACTGGGTATACACACCCACGGATGTTAGTGTGGACATGCACTGTTCTTGGATTACAGATGTGCATAAAGATTTTTGTATTGGCGCAGGGCTCTAGACATCTGGCAATAGTCTATATGAAAAAAATTAACCCAGACTATATTACATAAGGGGATTATTTCTAGAACTGCATCTCTTAGAGCATCGTTTCCCAAACTATGGGCCGGGGCCTGGTACTGGGCTGTGGGGAAAAAGATACCAGGCCTCTGTGTGGCTGCCGGAGTGTTCCAGAGTGCCAGTGTGGGGCAGAGTCCTTCAAGCCCTTGGCTGGGCTTGGCAGAGTCTGCAGCTGGATGTGTCGGACTCCCAGTAGAGGCATAGCTAGGGTTACCACGTGAGTTAAAAAACAATGCCAGACACACTTGATCTCAGATGGGTGGGGGAGGGG